GATATGGCCGCCATGGTGGCCGGATTGTAGGCTTCGACGTTTGTGAACTGCTCTCCACTCATTTCTAGGGCTTTTATATCATTGACTTTACCATGATAAGCCATCCAGGTAGATGCCCAGCATTTATCGTCCGGCTTCAATTCTGCACCAGGTTCCGGGTCCCGGCCAAAACGTGCTGCAGTCAAAAACGCGTTGCGTTTTGTATCCTTGTGGGAAGGGAGGTTTTCAAGACTGGACAAATAAAAATATTCGGATGCATCATAGCAGCGTCGTGCCATAAGCGCTATTGCCACAGCCTCTTTCCACGACGGTCCGCCACGATCCGAACTCTTGTGCAACTGGGCCAGGATATCGTCAGCTGCTAGATAGGCTTGACTATCAAAAAGAGATAAGAATCTTTGAATAATCTGGTATGGGTCGCCGCACGGTCCCGCAGGTGTGTCTGGTTTTGATGTATAGTAACAGTTCGAAAAGAACTTTTCCACACGGCTGCGTATGTGTATGTTACATTCATACGCGCTGGCGAGGTTGCCCAAATCAAGATAATTAAAGATACGATCCCAAACCTCCTGAGATAGCGCAAAGATTCCAGACATTATGGGAAGTAAACCTGCGGTAATCCTTGAGGTTTATGTTGGTAGAGTTATAGGGCAGCAACTGAGAGTAAAGAAATGTCATATCTTCTTTATGATACCCCTCACAGTAAAACCTAACAAAACTTGTATCGGTCTAATTGGGCAGGAAAAACTGGATAAAATGACCCGCCATAACCAATCGTAAAAAGGGTGCCCGGAAGAAATATACCCGCAGCATGTACCTACCCCACTATACCCCCAGCCACCCTACAGGCTGCGATGGTGTTTACTAGACGATGATCCCTTGAGAAACGAATGGGGCTGACGGCTCTGTGAATTGGAGTTTGTCTGTGTAGCAGCATTACTAGCCCTTTGATCTGGGACCGGTACAGGTAGTAGCTGAAGGGTGCCAAGGGGCAACGCCTTAGAAAAGCAAAATTATGATTGAATTCGGGGCTTCATTTCAACATACACCACTCAAGGAATTGTTTTGAGGCACACAAGCAGGGCGGGATTGAGAATGCTTGTTCGGTTCATCACTCATCAAATAAGCACTTACGAAGAAACGCCCCGTGTTTGTAATGCTGCTCTTACGGCTGCTACTATTATAAAGATCACCACATCTTTTAACCCATTCTCCCTTACTTGGGGGGTAAGTTCCCTTATTTAGTCACATCGTCCACAATATTATCGCTCGCCTTCCGACACTATTACGCACCCAGTGTCACCATGCTAGCTGAGCTTTCCGTCACCTTTACTTTAGCTGCTTTTGCTTTAGCTTCGCCGCCAATTGATAAGTTATGTCCAAGTCAAAGTGGCATGCCCGCAAAGCCAAATCCCACCCTTCCAAACAATGGTGGTGGTAAGAATTAAGTCCGCCATGTAGACATATGAAAAGATTTCAGTTGAACTGACGTAGCCTACAGCTTCTGAGCTCCCTGAACCGTCTCAGGGAGCGGCTCTCAAGCATATCGCGCTTGGCTTTGGTATTCAAAACTACACCTGCGCCGATACCGACACCACTCCTACATCTGTCGGTGCTCTAGCTGTCCTTTACGATGTCACTCATCTCTACCCCGGACAAAGCCACTCATCTCTGACCCAAGCCGAATGGGCTTCGCTCCCAGGTGAGGTTCTAAACACGCTGAAAGTTCCTCTGAATCTCAATGAAAATGGTATCGGAGCCTCCCCCATCAAACCGTTTCCCAAGAAACAGGATCTCAAGGTTAGGAGCCTTTCAAAGAAGATCTCCTACCTTGGCCATCACTACTTCAACTCTGTCGGTGTTCCGACTTTCGACCTTGACAAGGCTTGTCAACTGCTGATTGCAAAGAAGATTGACGGTATCAAAGCTCCTGGTTCTTCCCCGTCTGGACCCGATGGCACTGGTGCTGTGGACTGGCTCTTCCTTGGTGATGCTGGCGGCAGCCACGGAATTTCTTTTGTCTACCGTGTTCTGACAGCCAGCGGTGCTTCTCACGGATGCAAGACGAAAGGAGTTGATAGCACTTCCTACGCAGCCATGTATTGGTTTTACAATTAAAATAAAGTCATCTTCAACGGCCGAAACATTAAGGGATAAATAAGCTGGCAATTACAATTCAAAAATAAACCTTGATCGAACTAGAGTCGGAAATTGTTTAGTATTCTTGTGATTATGAATCATCAGATTCTTTGCTCTCTTTCTACTGTCTTTAAATTGTCACGCATCTGTTCTCATCTTATGGCACCCTCTGTTGAGGTTTATTGTTCAGCGGGGAAAGTCGAACCGATGCCTCGGTAAATGTGATGTTAGTGTATTTGAAGACATGATCCGACATTTGCTTCCATACAAAACCAAATTTTGAGTAACGCAAATGCTGGGATTTACAGCTTGACTTATTAACTTCCTTCAGGCTCTCAGCACTTGATAGCTCGTGGGCCACGAAGACGTAATTGACAGTGTATTACCCTATAGCGGCCTTTCTATGCCTAAATTGACTATGGAAGTCTGGCATGGTGACCATCTACTGCGAGGTACATACCTTACACTTAGCCAGCTGTGATACACACCGTCAGGTAGACCTTTAGCATCATAAGATTAGTCTTTCCATCTTCAATATAGCATTTGAAAAGTTTTCATTCATCGGCATCCATGCAGCAGCTCGGCCTTCTTCCCTTCGTCCGTGCCACCAATCGGAGGCCAATGTGGGTCTTCTAATGCTCCGCTGGTCTTAAGCTCTTAGCCCATGGACGGAACCATTTTTGATAATTCACCTCGTACTTCTACCCGTATCTATCGATTTCTTCACAAGTTTGACACTTTGGAGACTCATTCTAAAAAAAAAAAGAAAGAAAAAAAAAAGAATAACATGTTCCCTTCCCAGTGCGTTAATCGTTCTTTACATCCTTGCGGTTGCCAGAATGATCGAAGAGAGATTGAGAGAGAAGATTGGTAAGTAACATCCAGGTCGCTGATCGACCAATCTAGTCTGCTGCAGCTAGTAAGCGCTGTCACAAATTAGCCCCATTGTGCTCATCAGTTTACAAATCCAACCACTATAACTATTCCTCATCAGTCTTAGCGTCCTAGTAAAACCGGGTTAGATGTTCTATTTAATTCACGGACCCCCATACCCGGAGGCTTGTTGAACTACCGACTGCTTGCCAAGACGCCAGCGTCACAGGACCAGACAATCATGCGGATGCGAGCTGTTATTCTAACCGGCTTATCCGTGCCCAATCACGTCATACAATGAATGAGGCGGGGATCGAAATGAAAGAGGATTGGAATTTAGGTGTGGCTAACCTTAGTAGGGCTAGACCCCCACGGGGCTGCTCGTTTTGTGCTAACTGAATACCTAGCCAATCAACCTAAGTTTGTTTTATCTTCGCAACTCATTAAACTGTGCTCTGGCTACAAAGTAGAGTGTAGTTGACTTGATTGGCTCTGATATGAACTCCAATTCATTTCAACGACTTAATACCCATTCTACAGCTTCAAATTTGTAAGAAAGTGGTGTCTATTCGAAGAAGATTCAACAATCAGCGACAAGAAAAGATGAGTTCTGGCACTTACGAGAAGAGAGGATGGTCGTCTTTGTTGCATGCAGTAGAGTATCGACTAACGGTAGACGTCCAATAAGAAGATCAATGTTGAGCCTTGTCGGGGTCTGGGACACGCGGCCATCCAGGAACCAAATGAGCAACAGGGCAAAAAGCAACGGTGCCCCCACGGTCGGCACATTAACGGCCTATAACCTGCACCAGCCTCTTGGAATCGCCCGAGTCAGTCGCGCAATACATTTTAGTCAGAAACCAGGCACGCATCTGGAGAATCTATTAGAAGCGGCGCGTGGAAACCCGCTCCTTGCCCAAGTTTGACGTTATCTGGTGGAAGCGAGGCTCATCTCAAGTGCGTCAAGGCTGCGGATGTATCACGGAACCACGGCGCGCCCAGGATTCTTGAGCAATACCATATTCTGGCAAGATTGTCTCTTTTAATCTTAACCCACCAGGGTCCGCGAAGCTTATACTCTGGGTTGAATGAGGGGGCCAAAGATCTTTGAAAGAGTACGGCTGCATTGTCGCTCGTACGGCAGCACTCTACAACTCAGTGTCCGTTTTAATTAGCTTGGATGTGTGACGGCTGGCTGAATAGGGTGGCTTCCAGAGCGGAATGGTTGTTGGGAAGCGGAAGCCTCGAATCTCGATGATGCAGCCGCTGTTTCGGGAATTGCCGGATTTAACATTACAGTAGCAATTAACCATGTCCGTAAGATCCGGCGCGGGAAGACTTCCGGGGTAGCACGGCGCGGGAAGACTTCCGGGGTAGCACGCCGCGCGATTTAAAATTGAGCTTGGGGTGCGACTGACTCAGGGCCCGGTTGCAGAGGCCAGATTTACAAGCTAGTCGACGAACTAAAGAAAGTGTCTTGATTGTAACATTCAACGGCTGCATTGGTCAACTCGTTTCAATCTTGCATGCTGCCAAGCTTCTCATCAGGTCTGGTCGTGAGACATTGATAAGCTGGATGATCATACTAATTCGTCGAAGCGGCGCAAAACTTCGTTATCGAAGTTGAACCTATAGTCACTCATCCTATATGTCGCATCCCCATGGTCGCTCATTCCAATATCAAAGTCTTTTCACTCTGGTCGGTAATGGGTCTGATTGGAAAAGACAGCAGCGAGAAGCCGAGCGACATGAGCAGTCTCGTTTATCGAGGCGGGTCTGTCTTCCTTCACCCTGAAAAGGCTAGTCAATCTACATGACCTCGTGTTTCGCTTTGACGCAATGACCGGACCCATGAATGTCAATGCTTCACAAATATTTTGTTCTTAACCCTCAAGGACAGGCTCTGATCCCTGTCACTCTCCACCTCGATTTCACAGCACTAAATTAGTAATACCCAGCCTTTCTGCTCATTCTCGTCATATTGAAGTACGCGATGTTATGATACTGACCTCGTTACATACCGAAAGGCGGCCGATAGAAGCAGGATTCTGATGAATCGAGTTGATTACCACGGGAGCTGAAGTTGTCACTTGCGGATTAAAGAATCATGAGGCTTCTGCAGACCTCTCAAGCTTCTTCACCCTCACCAATCGCCTTCGTCATGTCTCCGGCTGCAGCTCCCCTGCTCCGCCTGGTAGCTTAATAAAGTCAAAATCTTTCCTGTACACTATCAGGTGAAGCCCCTCAGCAAAGTGTCGATACGGATCGCGTCTTGGTACTCGGACACTTGCCTTGAAGGGGTAATGATTTGGCCTGATCATGTTGGTTTGACATGGGTGGGTGGAGTCATCATATTCATAACGAGGGCAGCGCTTGCGACTTACTGGTCCCAGGCAGGGGTTCAATATCCATGACAGAAGGCAGTAGCAAAATGCTGTTGGTGATCGGTACTGAGTATTGCTTTCTGAACCAACACAACGAGAGGCAGACGTCCCGACAGTATGGCTCACAGGCGGGTACTGAATGTGCGATGCATTATAAGAAGAAAAACAGCGCCAGATAGGAACGAAAAGTAAAGTTGTTGAAGCTGTCACAAATCCAGTTTTCCTCATTTTTTCCCCGTTTCTTTTTATCAAGTTTCACGACACCGTCGCATCGCGGCTCAACATTTAGCTTTTGAGATGGACTATGATTTGTCGCGGCAGCAAGGGACATTCATACATCCACACCTCAGCACTACCCAGCCCTTCGAGCCATCTGGCTTAGTTCCTCCACCGCACTCAGTTCCTGTTGCCGACTTGCCAGCGCCTCCATCCCAAGATACAGCACAGACTGTGCCCCGGACACAACTGAGTAGTTCCGCCCTTCCCACTGAAAACATTCCTTTCTACGATATGGTACCGGAAGTTACCCTGAATTCCTGTCCTTGGGGTTATCCATGTTGTCAAGGCCACGGCTTGTGTCCTGTCTTACACCCTCTACAATACCCCACCAACTATAGCTCCATTGATCACTCAATGTCGGACACAACCCTATTCACGTCCACCCAAAGCACCGTTTACCAGCAATCCGCCCAGACAAACCCACCTATAAGCGCAAATATCTACTCATATGAAAATATCCTGAGATGCCTATTGCCGAGCGAACGATTCATCTTCGAAGAAAGACTGAAAAACACGTCATGGAAGGATATCCTAACAGAATACAATCAACGCTGGACCCCAGTTAACCATGACACTGCGCTCATGAAAAGGCTGCAGAAATTACGGGAGAAATATGTTGTCATCAATCAAATCCTGCCATCAAGGACAGGGACCGCTAAAAGGTTAGGACACAATACACATGCGGTTGGAATCCCATGTGCTACCTGCGGGCTGCATAATTACTAAAATCTCATGAGATCTACTAGAACTACATTTCGTTACAAATCAAGATGATACTCATAAGCCAAAACCTAGATGTTACAGCTTGGTCTGCGCGACGGGCCAGGCGAGAGGAGTCCCAGTTTTGAGCGGTTTGTTTGCATGGTTGTTTCGCGAACTCGGTTTCCAGTTGCGGGATTGAATAGTGTCTTGAAAGTTTACAGGGGCGCTATTGAGAGTTCATTTGAGTATAATAAATGTGCGCTTGGGACAAAAATTGGGCAATGAACGTACATATGAGTGATAAATGCTACCCCATTCTCTAAAATAGACCACGTGGTGGAGTGAAGTGCTATTGTCTTCTAGTATAATGATAATTTAGCAGGGTAAGCGGTCTAAACAGTAATCACAACTTATGACCTAACCATAAAATAGGCGTCACAGTTTTAGTGTATTGAAATATAAAGGGCTAAATATCATAATTAGATACTGAATTAATTACTAAGTTTAGTAATATTTTAAATCTAGAATCATTGTCTTTAAATTAATATGAACTAGTTAGAGTAATTGTATTAGAGTATCGAGCACTTGCACCTTCCTCTCCTACAATAACTCTTGATTGTAGTACAAAGCCCCATAAGCCGAGCATAAGTAGTCAGTCGCACTGTGTACTCTCATGTCTATACTGAAAGTGGACATACTGATGTACATTCTTCATCGATGTAAGCGACAGTACTCATGACTCGCACTGCCATCGTATCCCCACTTCCCCAGTTTCGCGCCCCGGAATTTCAGGCAGCAGCGATACTTCTAAGTACTTCATTCGTCCAGCCAGAAATTGCTTACGCACTCACAAGCCGGCCCATTTCTGACAAAAATCGTATTTTGAAGTACAGCCCATGTAGCTCGAAGGCCCCACTCTAGACTTTATAAAGAGCATGTTGTTTCAGACCGGAAGGTGCGAGTGCTCAATACTGTACAATGAATTGTAATAAATAAGTTAAAGTTGTACATATATAACAAGTACAGATAATTTTTTGAATAGCTTAATAAAATAAAACTTATAAAAGACACCCTTTCCCTTTCCAAACACCAGAAGGGCTCAGTTTCGGATCACTAATGAATCATCAGCCTGGTGTCCGACTTGGCGGTCGGGCAAGTCATGGTGAGTAGTTAACTAGCAGGGCGCCCTTGTCATTCTTTGCCCTGTTTGCCGTGTTTTGGTGTGTTTTAGACTTTCGTGTCCATCTTTCATCTTGGTTTCTATGTTTCCTCCGAGTCTGTTACGTGCTCTCTGGTGACTAGGCTTTCTATCTCACCAGATATAAACTTGGAGTGCCCTCGATGGCCACCTCTCTCCATCAGTACGGACATCCATGTATCCTTCACTACGTCTTTGCATTTCCTCTGTAGGGTTACAGGAAGAGTTTTCATTCAGCTAGTCAGGTTCACGGGTTAACGTAGACTCTTGAATAGACCAATTATACTTCACAAGGATGTTCCCTTTATCTGGACAATACATATGTAAATGCTTTGGTGATAGGCATCGTTTGCCTTATCTTATAAATATCTATTTTCTGTCTCCATAGTTCCGTTTTCTATTGGCGTCTTGACAGGTCAAGTTAGCATTCATCCTAGTATTGAATGAAGCTACCTCTTTTCATGGCTGAATGTGCTGTCTCTTACAATCCCCGAGTTTTCAAACGGTATGTGCAGATGTCAATGTGCCTTGGTCGTGGAATCTTCTGAGTAAAGTACACTGTCTCTTTGGAATGGGGGGTGTACCGTTCAGAAGCGCGAGTCCTGGCACAGTGTTTGATCTTCATTGGCATCTTGTTGCACAATTATCCAGCCGCTCATCCCATACATCAGGTATATGTAACTCAATTCTGATATTTCGGCCTGGCGCTGCAAAGAAAACGAAAGATTTTGAATGAACTATGGCCCTTTGCGGCGGTCGCCTAGCTTATGGTATATGTGTCAACAGCTCGGTTGCTCGTAATGTCAAGTGTACTCTTGAAATCACATAATCAGTTTGTAAAAGGACGAATAAGATCTTAGTTTCCTTAGTATAATTTTAGTGATTCCAGGCAGCTTGTTCAATCCCATCCGAGTAAGATAGCAAAGTTGAATGGAAGGAAGAAGAAGAAGAAGTAGAAGAATACAGGGAAGTACACTTGAGCATATAGCACACAAGGGCAAACACAAGGAATTACCCACCCATTTTCCTGGTTCCGATAACATATGGCGAGTCGAGCAACAAAATATGAGAAGATGCTTATCTTTTCCTCGCACTAGAAGACGAAAGGGAGGTGATACCTTTGCACAAATGGTATGTATTTATCCTTTCTTTTGATAAGGAGCCGTAGGATCTCCCCTAAACTAATCTCTGGACACATGAGTATCTGTCGCAAGGTATCACCTAAACTAGCTAAGGATTAAAAGAGACCGATATTGATGATTGGGCGAACACCTGCCAGTCTTTATAGTTTCGAAGGAAGCGCCGGGACCTCGTCCAGGTTTCTGAACGCACGTAGACCGTTCATAAATGATTCCCACGATTCATCAGAAGTGATAGGTGCTGTCACGTAATCGTCTAAATCAGATTGTGAAGCAGATTCCGATCTGATCTGGGCCAAGACTGCATTGTAGGACTCAGAAGCTCGAGAGGGTGCATATGCCTGGACTGCTCGCCCAGGCGCAGGCATAGGATCTAAATCCTCACACAGGCAGATCCGCTCATACAACAACAGTACATCCAACGAGAGCCCCGCGTTCTCGGCGGCCTCATAGGCCATGCGATTCCCGATTGCTTCGGCCAGCAATCGGCATCGAGGTAGAATGTGACGATCAAATGAAGCGCCACGATGTTCCTCATAACCCCCGACTCTCTCAAGCCGCGATTTCATGTCTGCCAGTAAGTCTTCCTCGCGTTGCGCCAAGCGAGACGATCTGTTCCGCGCCTGTGGGAGATCTAATTTCCCCCCCAAAAGCTCTGACATGAAGCCTAGGAACGGAAATGGTCAGCTTACTTGTGAAGTAAAGGCGACTGCCAGCAGGCAAATGCCAATGGTACATACGAATACACAACACCAATGTATCGCCTTCGGCAATTGAATTTCCGTGAAATGTTAGATCCAGCTCGCTTATTTGATTGTACGCGAAGAGACCTTGCCACCCGCATCTTTCAGCGAGAGACCTCAGGACTTGAGAGGCTCTGACTACAGTCGCCTTGAAAATGGTGGCAAGCGCGTGCTGCATGGGGTCAGTTAGATCAGGGCACATATCTATGGTCCAGTGAGCGAATGCATGCAAGACCTTCCCATGAACCCATCCCTCGACGATCGGATGTTGCTGAGTAGTGAAGCTCATAATCTTCTTTCCTGCTTGCCCATCGGTTGATGTGATAGTCCTTCTTTCGCTATAGACAGCAGCTATGCGTGTGCTGACCTTGATAGCCGAAATGCCCATGATAGAGAGAGACAGCGTTCCAGCTGCTATACGCCAAATCTGTCGTAAAAACTCAACACGGTCGTTCTTTGGTTTTGAAGAAGAACCGAGCAAAGCCGATGAGGGCAGATCCACATGGCTAAAAGTTGTCAGAGAGTGGTCCAGCGGTTTCGTACCCGGTCTTGTAGGAAGAATACGTGACGTAATCCCGGGCCTCATCCCCCCTGCATCGCTGAGGAACACAAGGAAGGGCTTCACGCCATGACTCTGTCCGTCAATCATGAGTCGAGCGAACACTATGGCGACGCGGGGCATTTCGCAATACGGTGTTGTCGGAGGCATTGCTTTTGAAGCTCCTGCATGAGGAGTATCCAAATCGTAGGAGCCATCCGGCAGCAGCGTTGCAGTTGTTTCCAGGTTGCGAGCATCCAAGCCATGGCCAACTTCGGTCAACATGAATTCACCACAAATATCAAAATTCAAGAGCTTATCGAGTAAGTCTTGTAGATCGGGACGCTCTTTGACGAAAGAGCAAAGTGTTCCTATGCAAAGGTTTATGTGTATCGCTGCGATAATGAATGCCGTCATGTCGCGGGCAGCAATCACTCAATTGGCTTATTCAGTATGGCCCCAGAGTATGCTAAGGGTTATCAAACTCACGATCAAAATGGAAATTCCAGAATTTGGGGGTCAGATCCTCGATGTCATGTTGTGTCAGACCTGCCAAGTATCTTAGTGATGCTCTCTAATCAAGACTATGCACGCACCGCTGTGGCGACACATCGATTTTGCTCTCTCGTAATGTATAGCTATGTCTCGTTTGGAGGCGGGGGCCACAAGGTCATGGTCGCGGCGCCAAATGTCCTGTGTTAGGATTGCTTTGGATTGAAACATGCTGGAGGCCTGCTGTCTTAGATGACTTGACGGTAGCTCTAATGAGTGTAAATAGAGAACAATGCACGGCCAATATTGCAAGAGACAGGCAAGGTTTATTTTAGCTGTCCAGTTGCTCTTATAGAAAACGAAACTGTCTTTTTGGACCACCCATCGAAGTATCGAGCACACTCGTCAGACAATCGTGATAATCTCGACGAGATGGATTAGAATGTGAAAATACAGGTCCACTTTCCATCACATACTTTAGTGAATCATGTGGATTTTTTTCAGTTAGGGATTTCGGTAATGGGATGTTGGGGACTTCTGAAAACCTCGGAAGCAGCCTCAATGCATACTCCCCCATCCCCCCTCTTCCCCCTCCAAATAAAAATAGAATATCTGAGAGTGATTTTCTTTCATGAGCAGGTGTTGGCTAATATTAAATTGCAAGAAAAACCTTGTTCAAGAGCTCGCCGTGTTCAGCAGCACGCTGGAAAATTTTAATAAAGGAGGATAAAGTTTATATTCAAATAGATATAAGCTCTATAATCTTTTAACTTGGAAGGGAGCAAAGTACTCGCCTTGTAGACAACTGGTCGATGTATCATCTAAGAAGTGTTGCTCAAGTAGTGAGCCTGTTTATCTAGGGTAACTCAGTGAATGGCCAATAATGAGTCTGATATCGCCCAGCTTGATGAAGCCACCATTAGTTTGGTCAATATCGTCGAAGCATACAGCGCTACTACCAAAGGGATTGAGGCGCAAGAATACACACAGACCATAAACGGAGGCGAGCCCCACCGGCATCGCGAAGACTAACATTGAACCCGGATGAGGTAGCAGTATATTTGTCATTCCCAGTAGTCGGTGGAGCCATTGGAGCCCGTGGCGCCCAGCCATGAGTCAGTACGCTTAGGTCGTCATTGAAATTTCCACTCCGCTTTCACGCCAGCCACATTTGTCCAGAAAAGGCTAGTGTGCACTATCC